GCAGGAAAAGGGGGGGGGGGGACACCCCCGGCCCCCCCGGGGGTCACACCGAGAGCTTTAGGGGGGGGGTGTGGGGTGTGCAAGGCCACCCCGGGGGCTGCCCCGGTGTCACCGGGGGGGTCCCCACGGGATGGGGTGGGGGGATCGAGCCGCGGGTGGGCGAACGCGGGGGGGGGGGGGGGGGGGGGGGGATCCCGACAGGCGGCGGAATTTATCCACAGCGGGAAATACCGGGGAGCACCGGGAAATACCGGGGAGCACCGGGGAACATCGGGGAGCACCGGGAGGCTCCGGGGAACACCGGGAGGACCTGGGGAACATCGGGGAGCACCGGGAAATACCGGGAGGCTCCGGGGAGCACCGGGAGGACCCGGGGAACATTGGGGAGCACCGGGAGGTCCCGGGAAGGAGCGGGAAGCACTGGGGAACACCGGGAGGCCCCCGGGAATACCAGGGAACACCGGGAAGCCCCGGGGAGCACCAGGGAACACCGGGAGGCCCCCGGGAAGCACCGGGGAACACCGGGAGGCCCCTGGGAATACCAGGGAACACCGGGAAGCCCCGGGGAGCAGCAGGGAACACCGGGAAGCACTGGGAAGACCCGGGAAGCACCGGGGAGCACCAGGGAACACCGGGAGGCTCCGGGGATCACCGGGAGGCCCCTGGGAACACCAGGGAACACCGGGAGGCCCCTGGGAATACCAGGGAACACCGGGAAGCCCCGGGAAGCACCGGGAGGCGGCGGGGCGGGTGCGCGCGGCTGCGCGCGTGGAGCGGCATCGCAAACGGCGCCGCATCGCCGCCCGCAGCCCCCGCGGCCGCCGCCGCCTGCGCGCTGGGGAAACCGAGGCACGGCGAGGCCGGGAGGGGCTCGGCGGCACCGCGGAGCCGCTGTCCAGGCTGGCCCCCGGTCCCCGGTTGTGCTACCGGAACCCGCCGGGATCCCGCACGCGTCGCCGCCGCCGGGCCATGGGAAGCGGCGGCAGCGCCCGAGGGCAGCGGAGGCCGGGGGTTGGAGGAAGGTGGGTGAATTTGGGGGTGGGG